GTAGGGAGCGTAAGTTTAGGAGTGATGTGGACAAATGAGAAGCAAGGAAGAAAGATGATAACAGATGGTGCGAAGTCCGTGAAATAAACTACCAAGGCAGCATGACAGTGACTGGGGAAGCACCCTTGGGATTGAGAGGGTCAGAGAATCTCCTCCTCTGAGGGGGAAACACTAGAACTGAGACAAGAGCCAGACAAAGAAAAGACTTGCTTGACCTGTTCTCACATTGGAGAGGAGGCAAGAGAAGGTATAGAAGATGGAGTGAAAGATGTCAGAGAAGGACAGCCACAGATGCCGGGTTACTGGGGCCTTGGTAAATGATAGGAAGGATCTTAAATTGTCATCAAAAAGCATTTGAAGGAAAAGCCTCAACTGCATGGCACTGTGACATTCCCTAAATTGTCTTGCATTGATATGTCATTCAACATTACTGGCCTTTCAAGTTTATATTGCCCTAAATCTATTCCCAAAAGCAAGAACTGGGTGGCAGCATTTTTTCCCTCTTTCTTATGGTGCCCAGCATACCATCATATCACAGAAAGACACCTGATGCTTATATACACAAACACACATCCATACAGGCATACAAATACAAACACACATCTATATAGTGTTCATTTGTGCAGACGGTTTTAAAAGTATATATTTTAAAAACATCTGGCCAAAAGAACCATTTTTCTGTAATGTAGAAACTTGCCAAAAGAACCATTTTTCTGTAATGTAATTGAACTGTTCATAATATAATAGGGAAATAAAACACTTAGAATTAAAAGCTTGGTTGATAGAAACACATGTTTCTATCAGTAAAACGAATTTGGCTGTTCTCTTCCTATCAACACAAAAGCAAGCCAAATAGCTATTTCCTGTAAAGGGAAGCCCCTCTATTGAAAAGAAAAAGAAAAAGAGGCCATAAGCAGAGGCCAGCACCAGTCACCAAGGCCTCTTCTATGCCTGCTTGCTGCCACCTACTGGAGAGCTGGAGGACAGAGACCTGTGCAAATTTCGGGTCAGAAAATGTATTAAAATAACTAAAATTGGACAATTGGTGCATTTGAACAGAGACCCCACTTTAGGATTCAGAAGCACCTAAAAGTATTTTTTAACTTAATAAGTCAACACAGCATCTTAGAAGTTTGGACATGCCTATTTGGACTTGTTTTCTATTTTTAGAGTTATTTGGGTTTTTATTATACATACATCTCAGGTGTAAAACATGATGTTTTGGTAAACATAGTAAAGTATAGTTAATTAAATTATTTATTCATAATCTTGCATAGGTACCTTTTTCTCTGAGTCTTGAGAATACCTAAAATCTATTCTCATAACAAACTTCCAGTGTACAATATGTATTGACTACAATCCTCATGTAGTACATTACATCTCCAAATTTATTATCAAAGATAACTGCATCTGTAACCTAAACAAGAAAATAAGGGTAATAATTTAAAGAAAGTTGAATATCCCAAAAGTTTAATGTATAACTAGCATTTCCAGGAAAATATTTAGAATGAAAAACAAAATGTTTGACTAACTAAAATTTTTCTAGAGCCAGTCAGGGTGACATATACCTGTATTTTCAGCTATTCAGGAGGTTGAGACAGGAGAATCACAAGTTCAAGACCAGCCTGGAAAACTTAGCAAGACCCTATCTCAAAAATAAAAAGGGCCAGGGATGTAGTTCAGTGGTAGAGTACTTTCCTAGCTTATGCAAGTCCCTGAGTTCCATCCCAGTACTGGAGAGGGGGAAAAAAGAAAAACCCAATGGGAATAAGATGGATGAGTGAGAGAGACAGATTGATTTGTCTGAGAGATGTTAGAGGGCTTATGCAACTCTGCTGAAGGTAGATGGGAGAGGCTCCAAGTCCAGGCCAGTCTGGCTCCATAGGGTGCATGCCCTTGCAGTTGTCACACAGGGCCCAATATGCACAGGAGTCCCTCGGTTTAATGCTCTGCTATCACCATCTTGAATTTTTTTTATTTTCTTCAGTCACATTGCCTTATTTCTCAAAATACCACAAATTTTATAATCCTTAATTAAAAGAAGGAGTTTTTCTCTAAGTTCCAAAGGAATATCAATATGAAGGATAAGAAAAAACAGGTTGCAGAGCTGGGGTTGTGGCTCAGTGGTAGAGCATTTGCCCGGCATGTGTGAGACACTGGGTTCGATTCTCAGCACCACATATAAATAAATGAACAAAATAAAGCCCCATTTAAAAAAAAAAAATAAAGGAATTTCTTTTTAAAAATAGGAAAGAAAAAACAGGTTGCTACTTGGATCAAGTAGTACAAAGAAAACCATCTTAAAAATCTTAGTAACTTTTGTATAAGGGGACTCACTTTCATTTTGCACTAGTCTGGGCCAGGGGAAGAGGCTGGCCTCAACACAGGAAGGGAAGCTCTACTACTATAGTGGGAGGAGGTGATGGAGAAGCAGGGTCAATGCCAATGGCTGCTTTTTCTGAAAAGCAGAAAGAGCTATCTGCCATGATGAGCAAAAGTACAGACAAGGTGGAGAAGGTCAAAATTCATGTACGATGGAGAAATCTGACAGACTCCACCTTAACCAGGTATTAAGATTAACATCACCTGTAATAAAACAAATCAACATCATGTACTGTTGGGGCCTGATCTCCTGAAGTCACAGAGAATGCGCCCTGAAGAATCTTAATGCAGAGTTCCTGTTTATTAGCTAAAGCCAAGGAGGCTGGAATGCTGAACACGGCAGGATGGCAATAACTCCTCACGCTAGGTTAATTCTTGCAGGACACGATGACCCCAATTAAGGAGAAAAATAAGGCCCAACTATACTACCTGCACGTACTTTAGGAGTATGTTTCCTGGCATTTTATGAGAACATATCCTATTTTGTCTACTGGGGAAAATGTTTTCTTAGTACTAGCAAACAAGTTAGTTGTTTTCAATATGTAATGCCACAGTTAAGACTTAACCTCACACTGCCCTATAAAAGATGTACTATGCAAGAACAAAGCAGCCTCCCCTGCTCCCCCCCATAAACAAACTGTCAATTTTAGGACTCAGAGTCTTCATGCATAATCACAGGACCAAACATTCAGCAGTAGTTCATTTGCGGCATGTGCCTCCTGATATGATGCACTAAAGACACAAGATCACTTTTGTGCTATTTGATATTCCTCCCAAAATGCACAACACCTCAATGTAATCACAGAAAACCCAAATGGGGACACATTCTGCAAAATAAAAGACCAGCACTCTTGAAAAGTGTCAAAGTTTTGAAACACAAAGAAAGGCCAAGCAACCGTCACAGATGGGAAAAGGGAAAGGAGAAATGACAACTAATTGCCACATAGAATTTTGCATTATCCTAGAACAGAAAAAGGATAGTTAAAGAAACCTAGTGAAGGACTGGGGCTTGGGTTCAGTGTCAGACCACTTGCCTAGCATGTGTGAGGCACTGGGTTCGATCCTTAGCATTGCATTAAAAAAATAATAATAATAAATTAGTAAAATAAAGGCATACTGTCCATCTACAACTATAAAAAATTTTTTTAAAAAAGAAACCTAATAAATTTCAAATGAATCAATGTTAATTTCGATGACTATCATTCTACTACATTTATGAAAGACTTTAAAACTAAGGGAAGCTGGGTAAAGAATATATGGAACTTGGGCTGCATTGTGGATCAGTAGCAGAGCACCTGTATGGCATATGTGAGGCACTGGGTTCGATCCTCAGCACCACATAAAAATAAATAAAATAAAGGAATAAAGATATTGTGTCTGCTACAACTAAAAAAATAAATAAATAATATGTGAAATTGGTTTTTTTCAGCTGTTCTGCAAGCCTCAAGTTATTTCAAAATGAAAAGCTTACATATTCATGTGGATTGTTTTCATTTGTGATTTTTTAAATGCTATTAATAATTCCAAGACCCTCAGTCACCACCTTGGAAGTCTAGCACTACTCCACCAGTCATTGATAGACATTTCTTTGTCAATACAAAGTGTCAGTAACAGAAAAGAAAGGTTCTAGTCCCCTTAAAAATATGTCTTTGTACCAATCAGAGCCACGAATTTCTACCATGTTTCCCCCACATGAAAGCATCATTGCACAACATCGTGGCAAGGCACAAGGGAGAGAAGCAAAGAAGGAAGAACAGGAACAACCCTTTGGTTCCTACTTCTCTGCCCACCAGAGCCACACGTCTCTATCAAATGAGTGCATTAATTAAAGCTTTTGAAAATGTGTTGCACACAACAAAACCACACAGGTTGCAAGGACTATTTCGCATTTCCTTTCTCTATCTTAATTATGCTTTTGCTGAAATGTGGGTCATACATTGCTTTAGAAAAATGAGGATTTACAAAGAACCTTGGGTAGCACATCCACCCATTCCTGGCACAGAACCTGCTCCATATAACTATTCTGAATGGGTGAATCTGCCAGAGCTGTGGCTCTGCTGCCACCCAGTGGCAAGCAGATGTCATAGCACCTAGCCCAGGAACATCCCAGAGGAAGAACTAAGGACATTTTTTGTGTTGTCCCTGCCTACCACATCTCAGGAGTTAACAATGCAAACATGAATTCTTGGGAAGATAGGTATTAAAATAAATATGAGAGCCAGGTGCAGTGGCACACACCTGTAACCCCAGCATCTCAGAAGGCTGATGCAGGAGGATCACAAGTTCAAAGCCAACCTCAGCAACTTAGCCAGGCACTTAGCAACTCAGCAAGACCCTGTCTTTAAATAAAATATTAAAAGGGGTGAGGATGTGGCTCAGTGGTTAAGCACCCCTGGGCTCATTCCTCAGTACCAAAAAATTAAATAAATAAATATATACATACATACATACATACATAAATAAATAAATAAATAGAGATGGGGTTGAAATATATAAATAAATAGTGACAAAATACTTCCTTCAACTTAAGACTGAGGACTGTTCCCAAGACTAAATCAAAGCCAAGACATGTTACTGGTACCCAGGAGACTGACCTGGGCCCCCAACTTCAGGCTTACCTGTTTTGGGTCAGAGATAGCAGCGCCAGGAGCAGGGGATTCCAGTTCTATGGTCACAGGCCCATCATTCTGAATGTGTACCTGCATATAGGCACCAAACTTGCCATCTGAAAGAACAATTCAAATAGTTTTAGAGCTGGAGATCCAAGGCTACCCTATCTATAGAGCACATCTATGTCAATGCAATCTGAAACCTGAGCCATAGCACCAGCCAGTCAACCCAGCACAAGATGGCTGGCCCCCGAATGAGGGAAAGGCAAGTTTAAACAGCAAAAGCTTCCACATCCCAAAAGACTTGGCAAGAAAATAAAGGTCTGGTAACACCAAGGGAGAGAAGAATGGGGGCAACAGCATGTAACATGGCAAGGGGGCAAACTGGCCTGACCACTTTGGGAGGTAATCTTAGCACCCTATCTAGTAAGGCCCCTCCACCTCCAACCATGGACAGCTGTTCTGCTCTCAGCCTGTTGGACTCAGGCTGACCTCATGCCCTGGGGTTTCTCAGATACCAGACCCAACCTCAAACTCAGTAACCTCTCAAGCTTCTGCCCCTACCACAACCCCACAATTTTCACCACTGATTTCTTCCCCACCTAGTTTCCTCTCTCCAGTGATCCTTAATCTCAGAGTGACTTAACAAAGTGGGCACATCAATTCTTGGTCTTCTTGGGCCCACAGTAAGTAAGTAGTACTGTAAATTGTACTAGAAGCACCCAAGCTATCACCACTTTTATATGCAAAATTACTCCAGTTCCTTCCAGGGAGCCAAATATGCCCAAATACTGATGACTTTTCGTGACCTCCTATCAGATTAAAATGGCCATTCAAACTAGCAGAGCTTTTGTTTTATCCATGTCAGACTAGCTAAAAAGACATCAGCTGGGAAGGAAATCATGTGTTTAATTGCATGCTAAAATTATGGCTACAATTAGTGGCAAATTTCAGCCGCTGCACTCCTCAGGGAGGCTGAAGGCAGACTCAGGAGGAAAGGAATTATTTCCGACCTTGAGTTTCTGTTGCCAGGATATACGGCAATGCTTCACGGTGTTTATCATTTCAAGTAGCAAGAAATTTATTTTCTTTTCCTGTTTTTCTTCAGTTAACTACAGAACTATTATCTGAATTTCCATTTGTACACACAATAAATCCAAAGACATGTTTTAAGAGGCCTTAAACTGGTAACATTTTTTTCCAGTCCAGATCAAAGGGTAAAGTCTCCAAGAAAAATTACACTAGCCAGAGAAAATAAATATATTTTTTAAAGTAAAAGACAAAAACATAGCTACTAAACTACATCTGGGCTCCTTCAATGATATAATCAAGTTGTTCTTAAATACAAGTCTCAGGGTTCCACCCAGGGCTGCAGGATAATCACATGTCAAGCACATTTATGCCACATGTTTCAGGCAGGAAGACTCCCAGCTGGGGTCCTAGCAGCCTCAGGCAGGTCTCCAGCCACAGCTGTCTGAGCACACCCCAGCACCCCAGCACCCCAGCTGGAAGCCGACACCTCACTATAGGATTCACCACTTACCTGCAAAGGCTAGTGTCCACGCCATTTGGACAATGCCAGACTGGCTTTCCCCTCTCTCCAAAAGATCCACAAACCTCCTCTCCATGGTTTTGTTTATTCCAGGACAACAGCAGGACAATCATCCTGGGGCAGTTACAGCGAGCATGTAGGAAGTCTCAGTCACTATTATCATCATACCTACCACTGTCCCTGGTGGCATTTGGGCAACTGGGGACACCACACAAAAAAAACTATAGCAAAACAAGCATGCTACCGAAGGAAAAATGGGGAAAATTATAGGGGTGTGCTGTTGCTTCTTGGCCCAGTTACAATCAAGCCCATTTTCTCTTCAGAACAAGGGCATGACCTGGGGCTCAGCCTACCTCCGAGGACTGTTAGGGAACAAGGAGACTCGAGTCAGCCCATCTGAACACATCCCTTAAAAGCAGCTCTTCACTACCAAGGAGGCACAGGCTTCATCTCTGTTCTACTTTCAACGTGTCCTGTACACACTGAACCTGAACAGGGAAGAAGGGGTTACTACTGGAAACCCCAATACTGGCTACACAGGCCGGGGACATAAAGAAATCAAGCAAAGGAGTGGCACTGGCGGGGAGCTCAAAATAAGCCCATGGCCATGCTAGGGTCACCACCCAGCAGCAGGAACTTGATCTGGACACACAGGATTAACCCAGAGAATGTGGGAGTGACTCTGGTGGGCTGCTGGCCTCTGAGACAACTCTGTCCTCAATCAGAGCTCCTTCTATGGAGACAGGCGTGCTCCTTGGCATTCCCAGAGGATATGGCCAATGCCAGTGTACCACTCTGGGACAGAGATCCCATCACAGTAGCAGATGCCAGCTCCAAGGGGCCTGGAAGGAAGAGGCAAAGGCTCTGCAGGCTTCAGCAGAGACCAGAGGCCCTAGAAAATATGTTCCTCAGAGACTCAACTGGGAAGATCAAATCTGACAGCAAATGGGAACATTATAGACCCTTTAGGCATTGACAGCTAAGTTTCTCAGAATGTGAACACCCCACTAGGTGGGCAGCAGAACCATGGTCCAATTTCATTCCACACAGTCCTAGAGGGGTCTGGAATTGCGGTCCTAGAATTTTGTGGCTTCTCCCCATACTCTGGTCTCCTCATCTTCCCTCACCCCCCACCGGCTTTTAGAATATTTTTTTTAAGTTATTATGTGCATAAAAGGAAAAAAGCAAAGAACAAAGTCATCCAGTTATAAGCAGCTTACGTAGATGAGTCCCTCCAGGTCATCCATATACATAAGCAACATCCCATTTTGTGTGACTGAGATTACAGTGTGTATCATGCTTTTCCACATATCATGAATATTCACCAATTCAAAATCCCAAAGCTACATGAGTATTTTTGATAGCCAAGAATACCAACTCAATCTGTTACATGTTCTGCTCATCTTGAGGTGCTCTGCTTGGCTCCACAGAGGTTCAACCATTTGAGGGAGATACACCACAGGGCAGCAGATATCTCAGGCCTGTAACGTCAAGGTACTGGGGAAGGGACAGGCCCTGTGGCCCAATACCAAAAATGCCTAATCACAGGAGACCAAGGGTACCTGTCTCTAAAGAGCCAATCTCAATCCAAAACCTAAGAACTAACAGAAACAAATATTTGAATGGGAAACACCTAGGACCAAAATACACCTTCAACCAAGAGATAAAGTTCCCAACTGAGCTTAAATTCTGAGATCTTGGATTCAGGACCATCAAGGTAGCATAATTCTTGCATAAATGGAGATTCAAGGCAGGGTTTACTCTGACCATTAGGCTTTGCTCAGGCATCTCTAGTTCGCCTGGGCCTGGAATTATTGTGCCTCAGGTATCTTTGTAGGAGGCTGAAGTCTGCCTGGTCTTCTAATGGAGACACAAAGGAACTTGTGCAGGGATACTGCAGTGTATGAGGCCCCAAAGGACCTACAAGGACACTTGTGTGACACAGCGTAGACACAGCTGCTGAATAAACCCAGACTTGACTAAGCTCTCCATCAAGAGCAGCCAAATAAGAAACCAGGTAGGGTCAGGGGCAGTGGTGCATGACTGTAATCCCAGTGACTCAGGAGACTAAGGCAGGAGGATTGCAAGTTCAAGGCCAGCCACAGCAAATTAGGGAGACCCTCAGCAACTTAATAAGACCATTTTGGAATAAAAGATCTTTTTTTTTTCTTTTTCTTTTTTTTCTTTTTTTTTTTTTTTTTTAGTGCAGGGTATGTAGCTCAATAGAAAAGAGTTCCTGAGTTCAATCCCCAGTGAAAGAAAGAAAGAAACAAGCCAGCCAACTAACCAACCAACCAATAAGGGAGACAGCTTCTGAGTTCACCAGGTCATAGGATTTTATTTCAGACTTAAATTTCTCTGGACTTGATTAAGATACAGAATTTAACCTTGGCCTGTAATTTCTCCCTGGGACTATGACAATGGGAAAGGATCTACATTCAAATTCAGTGCATGTCCATGTTACTGGCATTTGATGAGCTTCTCACATATCTTATTATTCCACTGTATTAAGATATATTACTTAACCCCACTGCAGAACCACTTCAGGGCTGGGCTGGGCAGAGTGGCTGGAGGCAGCACAGAAAATGGCCTAGGGAACAAATCTTCACAGTTGGAGCAAAATGGCCTCGAGGGGCTTCACAGCAGGGTTTTGACCCAGGTCAGAGCTTCTAGGGGCAAAAAACATACAACAGAAGCAACCTCAGAGAAGTTTCAAGGTGGACTGGGAAGACTAAAATGACAACCCTCCCCTGAGCAGGGAACCACCACAGCCAGAGTGAGCCTCTGCTCAGAACTACCTTCCACCTGCTCCTATCCCCACCCAGGAGGAGAGCCACAGTCCTCAGAAAGGCACAGAACTCTCTTCACTGCACCCCCCTCTACACACACACACACACACACACACACACACACACACACACACACACACACGGAGTTGTTCTAGTCATTACTGTTGAGAAGTAGAGACAATGATCCTTAAAATCTTTCCCATCTTAAAAGTATGTTACCACTGTAGCATAAACTTCTGTGGGGAGGTGGCTCTCTCAGGCTGCAGTATTGGGCACAGCTTGAAGGAAGACCCAGCTGGAGGCAGGACACCCAGGAACAGGCTGTCAGAATCATTCAGATGAGAAACGATGACAGCTTGGGCTGGGTGCCTGCAGCAGAAGGGGCATCCTGTTCCCAGATTCTGCATGTGTGTCAAAGGGGAGGCTGAGAGGATCTGCTGATGGACCAGGCTTGGGGAAGAGGAATCATGCAAAACACTAAAGTGTGGGATCACAAGTTCATTTATTAGAAAATAATACTAAAACACTAAATGAAATAAGGAACTAGAAGAAGAAATCAAATAAACCACACAAGAGAAAGTGAAGATGATGAAATCAAAGAGTGAAGACCAAAGCAAAACAATGAAGTAACAAGCAAAAAAAATAAATAACTAGACTTAATGAATTAACTAAAGAGCTAGTTTTCTGAAAAAATATAAAATCATTTGGGGGGGAGAAAATGCAACTAAACTACAATAAGAAAGAGATATGATTCTAGATACAGAGATCTTTCTAA